GTAGTACAACTGAACCCTGATGAAGATAAATATTATCTTCTTACCCCATACCCCACATTAATGCAATCACTCAAAAAAAATTCACCCGAAAGCATTAGAGCTATTGCTCGAAACCCAAATATCGACTTACAATCAATTGGAATATATTCAAAATCCGATATCCAACATCACATTAGAACACAACAATCCCAAGAATTATTAACACAAATGGACACTATACAAAGACAATCAGTTGACCAAAACTTACGCAAACTTGCCGAAACCGCAGGATTTGCAGATATCTATACACAAGATTATAGCGGATATTTTAAGGACATTAAAGACTATATATATCTAAACGGTGAAAAATACCGACCACAAGATATTTCACCTATAAATATTTTTAGCTTTGTTACACTAAAAAATGAAATTCTTGATTTTCTAGGATGGCCCTATTACATCTTAGAAAAATAAACTATTTTATACGCAATGTTCAACTTTAAAGGATTTCTTTTTTCACTTTTAAAAGGAATCTATAACACATGCGCTATACACACACAAGTAAATAGACAAGCAAGTGTAGCACGCATACTATTTGCAGGATTTTTTGGAATTTTTTCATCATCAATAAACAAAATTCTTTTAGACGCACAAAAAAAAGAATACAATACAAAAATAGCGACAAGACAGAACACGTACGACGAAGAACATAATAATATAGAGGTAACGCCTACAGCACCACAGTTACCACCGCTACCACATAACCATCCATTATCCCTAGTCCCACGAAATTTCCGAAATTTAGCAATAACACATAATCCAAATTTTAGACCAAACATATCACAAAGTCCCATACAACATATAATGACACATCATTCACAAGATGAAAATACATATGAACAAATTATCGAACAACCCCATACCACTGCTTTTCAGACTCAAATTAATAATTTTTTTAGCCCACGATGAGCCGACAACTTGGATCCCTACACCGCTCGAATTCCCATCCAACCAACCTCAACACTCCAATTACAATAATTCCACTTTTTGCTTTCCCGCCACCCGATTTCCCAACTAGTAATATAACATCATGATGAATTCAGACACAAATTCAAATATTTCAGTTTTATGCTCCATTTCGCAACTCAATAACCCTAATATAGAAACCCTTGATGAATTTGCAGACTCCGAACCATCTCCATCCCATAATTTTCAAACCAACTCCTGAGTTTTTTCAAAACCCCCTTTTCAACCAATCCCACCAAATAACCCACTCCCATCCATTTCTACACCCTCTTATGCTTCACAAGTCACCCCAACCTACTCTTCATTTCATTCAGACCGATCATCCAATTCTCCAGATATTCCCCAAATCTCCCAAGAGCTCGATAATTTTATCACCCTACAACAACAACTATTACACCCTAGCACCCCCACTATAAATCAGATTTCTTCCACAATAGAATCCTCAAACCCACCTACCCCTACACCCTCTTCAGCTTATTCTGCATCATTAGCACAATCATCCACATCCACCGAATCATTAAATAGCACTAATAGAGCTTATCGCACTTTTGAAAGAAAATTCCCAAACCATCCATTCCCAACCAAACCAGGAACAGCCCGTGAATATATTAATCATCCACATCACACTAACACGAAAGTTTTTCTAGCAATCACCTTACCTTCATTTCCACAATTTACTTTAAATACCCTTCATGACACTAACGACACACGTAGTTTTGTAGATGAACATGTTTTAATGCCTACACTTCATAGGACATCATATTATCATTTTACTAATCCCCTTTGCCTACCATTATCAAATACTCATAACGATATAGAAAAAATCAAGATATGCTGTATCGACTCACCACACCACTAACACATAGACAATTTACTTATATAGTATTTAAAAAATCACTAAAAACATTCACTGCACCCCGAGCGAACGAATTTACGCTAGAATATTACGATTATAACATCATCCGAACTAACCAAGACCAATTTTTAGATGATGATCGCTTCGCTAACCCACAACTAACAGAAAAATTTTTCATCAAAACACCATATATATTTTTACTCAATATAATTGATCGAAAATTTGATCAGATCATTTCTGAAGCACTAACCGACATGCAAGCTTACGAAAGTTTTAAAGAAAAATTTCAATTATTTTCACTAACCTTCCACTTCCTTGCACCACATGAACGCGATTTGCACTGCTCACACGACATTATGTTACGCACTAAACAAACCCACACATATACATATTATCGCTTCATACAAAATCATTTTGATCTACACACTCCATCAAGACAACCACACCACCGTTTTCAGTTTCTTAACTCTAAATACACTTCACCATTTTTTCTAAATTTCACATATTGCATCAAAGATACTAATCTTCACGGCATCTTCCGCAATTATGATACCATAACCCAAAGGTATATGTTTTCTCCCATCACGAAGACCTTTAACGCAGAAGAATCCAGACCCTTCCTTATCCCACATGAATTTATCCAACCTATAGAAATCCCTATATTAGAATTCATCCACAACGACTAACAGGTTTTCCCCGACGACTAACAGGTAAGTATACTTTATACATATTTTTCACTAATAAGTTTAAAATAAATACTAACCATTCTTTACTCATGTTTCATTTAAATCTTTAGTCTTCATACCAGGATCATCTGAAGAAACAAAAAAGCAAAAAAAAAAACTTGTTAAAATTCTTCACTTCACTAATATTTTCCACAAGATAAACTGATAAAATTTATACCAAATGTAGTAAATTAATTTATAAATTGTTTCCCCAAAAGCAGTAAATTTCATAAAAAATGAAAATTTGTAATTTAAATTCTCCCCAAAACTAGCTGTAAAATTAAAATTCTCTGTAGTAAATTGATAAAATGAAAATGCAGTACTAACCTTTTGATATTTTCATTCACTCGCACAAGAATTCTATCCAAACTCGCACAGCTCGCCCACGAAGAATTGTTTAAATAATGAATTTCAGTTTCAAGTTTTCACACTCAACAACTCTAACACACGATAACAATTTCAAACTTTCCTTTAACCCGGTTGGAAAGGAATTATATCCTAAACAAAACTAACCAATGCAGCTTACTAAACACCACAAATCATAGAATAACAGCATGACTAAGAAAAGAAAACCAACGGTACCCAAACCGGATTAACCCAGTTTAAAACTGGATAATTTATTCTTTTGAAGACTATTATAAAGTCTAAAAAAGAAATAATAAAACACAAAAAAGTCGAAAGACAAACCCATAACAAAAACAATTCGATTTTTGAAAAAAGGACACAACCAACGAAACATAAGAAAAACCACCATAAACCCAATATAAAACGTTATCACATAACAGGACCTCTCACAGAAACCGCACGAACTCATAATCCCACTCCTGGCCTAACCCACCAGAGAGGACGTCCTGAGCATGCTCTATAGCCGGCCTAACCCACCGCGCTACATCCACGCTTTGTGACCACACTTCTATTTTTAATAAGAGGTACTCAAGGGTGAGTAACTCTTCAAAATAACCGAACTAAAACAAAATGCTTTTGTGAAAACAACTAACCAAAATCATAATTAAAACACTGAACTAATAAAAATTTTATAAAATGTAAACTATACTTTGCAGTATATAGATTAGCACACAACAACAAAGACGAACATCCAAAGACAAAATGACCCCACTACACTTAAAAAAGAATGGCCAACCACAAACCGATATGCCGTCCACAATCACAAACTCAAAGGATTTAGAGTACGACTTCACTTCCTAGAAAAGGACTTCATTGAACTAGACCAATGACCACCTCGATGTTCAAGTATACGTACAGATCCGAGATACAAGGCATCCCCTCCACGCACAATCTCCACGCCATTCCCAGACGAGGTCGAACACAAAAGAAGTTCTCTACATAAAACAGAAAAACCCGTCATAGCAAACCATTCTGAAATCAAATTGATTTCATTGGGAAACACCATCGTTGTCACAAGAAGACACAACGATTGATGCCCCTCACTCCAGCGTCCTGGAACTTCTCTAACAAGAGAAACCGGACAAGAGTACGATGTTCGCCAAATACCAGCGTCCATCATTCATCCTTTGAATTGCAGAAAGATAATTCTAAAAAACTCTGTAAAACCCGGATGGGTGGAACCTGATCTAAACTATATTTTTTGATTGGAAAAATTAGATATTTTACCACTGTAAAGCATTTAATATTAACCAATCATGATCCATCTAACTAACAACCCACTTATTTGTAAGTGCTGAAATTACTTGTAATTTCAGCACCAGAGAGATTTGAATTTAACTTAGAAATTAGTTGCCTCTCCAAGAGAACTTCAGTAGCCGCAATAAACCAGTATACCCTAGATCTATTGAGCCTAGCAGAGACTAGTTAAACAACCTGAGACTAGATAGTATAAGAGTAAGATTAGGATCGGTATTAGACTAAGAAGTTGCACGAATCTATCCGGCCGAAAATAAGATAGCGTGACGAGCAGACGGTGTACCCTATCCGAAATTACTCTATGAGTTAACCACATCGGTCCTAACTCATTTTTGTTGTTTTTTTGGGCTGGACGTTGTTGACTCAATTGCAAACAAAAACAACGAATCAATGTGGTTTCAGACCACCGACTTGTCGACTGAGAGGCGGACGTTTGAGTCAACAATTCATAGTTGATTTTCAGCACCAAATTCTGTGATTTTCTTTGAAACTGTTTTAGAATCCCACAATTTTCAGAGATCTGCTTTTAAGGCATCCTCAATTTGAACCCGGAGTATAGTGGACATCAAGATCTTGCAAGATCCTATTTTATTTTAAGATTTTTAAATGGGATAAATTTTTTGGCCAACACGTTTCTTGCAAGATTTTAATGACATTTTGAATTTCACTAAGACATGGGAAGCTATCCAGAGCGTTAGTGATGCACAATTGTGCTTCTTCTGATACTACTAGTTCTTCGCCAGTTACCTAACCTATTTTTCTCCTCTGTAAGTCTGGGTGCTGTAATCTGATTGGTCGCTCTATTCACGTGTATGAAGTGAATTAGTCCTGGATGTGTGATTGGAAATGAGTTCAGAATGACCTTGAATCCGGCCATGCGACCCTGGATGAAGTTGTGGAAGTCTTTTCTGGATCCATGCTCAGTCCTGGAAACATTGAAAAATCTAAGTGTATATGTGAAAAATCAAAGTATAATCTAAGTGAACATTAGTGGATTTTGTGCGTTGAATACGTATATTCTTAGCATTGAAATCCATTCTGATTCTAGACGTTGACCTTGAATGTGAGATGCATAGCATATCTGAAGTGATATTATTATAATGGTTATAACATTCCACAGAATACATACATCGGAAACAAAATTTTTGTTCTTACTTGAGAACCTCTGCAAATATATTGAACTGACCTGACCCTGGTCATGAAGTTGTGTGATATCTGGGCACAGAAGTCCCTGAAGTCATCTGGCTTAACATTGGGCATACCGAAAGTAGAGCCCAGGAACACTTTTTCGTACAGCCTCTTCAGGCAGTTCTGGTAGTTTTCCAGGGCACTCTCTGGAGCAGTAAACACTTACATTACAAACTAATAACTTAATTTGTTTCCAGCATAGTTAGAACTTCATCCAACACTTAATCATTCATCTTAAAAAACCGGGACCCAGTCTGGGAGATCGACCTGGGACTAATTATGTCTGTTTTAAGGCGTCTCTGTACAACGTCATGTGTTGTTTTTTGAGGGTGCTAGTTGCTGGGGTTGAAGATTCTAACTTAGTCTGGATCTGGGGTGCGGGATGTTAACTTGATCCAAAATGTTTCTTAAACCGATATTTAAAATAAACCAAATTCTTTTTCTTCGTTTCTTCTGAAATTTTACAAAATTACAACAAAAAAAACATCAGTTCATGGACACCAGCTCCTATAAACCTTATCAACAGTGTTCTTGAGTGAATATCATCAATGGTATCGTACCAACAAAAATGACACCCCCTTAACCCCCTCACGATCACTCCCACCCGTTCTTCCTCCCCTCCCTATAGGCCAAAAGTGGAACAAAACGGGTTCGGTTGCGGTCTTTTCTGGCTGGCCTAATTTTCTTGGAAATACATATCTTTCGGGCTGTTTTCGGGCCTAATCGTAATCAGAAGGAAAAAGTTAAATTTGTAAAACTTTGCTATCTAGCCACAAAAAACGAGCACACCACGGGAATCGATCCTCTCTGCAACCTCTCGATTTCTAGCAAACAAAATGAATTTGCTGTTGGGTAGTTGGAAAACAATATAATTGAGTTAATCAATTGAAAATTCGATCCAAGTCGGGCCCGTTTTTTTGTCGTTAATTTTTCAGGCCTGTCTTTTTTTAAACAACGGGTTCGGGCTGGATTCGGACCTCGAAATTTAGGCCCGATTCCACCTCTTCTTCGTGGCGCTAGAAAAACGGGAAGCCTGCTCACCCAGTTCGTCGCTGACGGGATGACTGAGTTTCTCCCCGAACTGGGTGGTGACTCTGGACAGGTACTTGGCCAGACCCCGACTGACACAGTTGCTCCAGAAGTGCTGCATCTCTTTCCAGTTGTTGTCTTCCTCCGCAAAGGCATTCGCAATCTCCTCGTGTGTCTGCTGCATACCTTGATAACATTGAAAAAGTCGAAATTTTAAAGAGCCGCGTAAAAATACTTGCTTTCAAATGCTTCAGTAGTCTAAATTGTAATTTCATCTTTGATCTGGAAAAGCGCCAAAAATTTCAATTGAGATCTTAGTTAGCGCCAAAAATTTCAATTGAGATCTTAGTTAGACAAAAAGATGTTGAAAGTGAATTTTAACGAGAATTTTAAAAAATGAAATTTACTACACACCCCCTAAGTCTGACCCTGATTATATGATTATACCTGAAAAGATTCCATTTTTAAACCAATTTTTCTGTTTCCAGAAACAGTTTTTAATCATAGTCGTTTTTTGTCGTGCCAGTTATGTGCTTGTGGAGGCCCTTAGTTTGTTTAGGGTATGTTATTACCCTGGTTAAGACTTACGCTGTGCGTCACATTTTTTCGTACCATCTTAATACCTGTATTTTCATCAATTCAAAACAAATGTGTGCCAAATTTTTTCGTACCACTTCAGAAATGTTCAAAAAAAGTCAGTAAGAAACTTTATTTCCATTTCTCGTAACACATGATAAGAAACGACGATGCAACGATGAGAATTGAGTTTTAACATATTCAGAAAGATTCGAGTTCAAGTGGTCTACGGCTTCAAAAACTCTTTCTTCCCGTTCTTATATGTTTTTCGGTTGCAGACCATCATACATCCTGGAACTCAACATGCTCCACCATCGGGTAGAATGTCTCTCCTTAAATGGATGGCAGCGTCTTTCATAAGATTAATGTAGGTGTCTGAATTTATTCGACCAGATAATGTTTCGACGAAAATGTAACCTGTCAAAAAATCATATCCCAGCCTTAACTTCAGCCTTATACTCATTCATGTCTATTGATGCTACGCACGCAAGAGCTAATTCAATAACACCGAGACATTTTAGTTCAATTTAGAGTAAAGAGACCAATTCAAAGAAAAACAACGACAGCTGATTGCTGAGCAATTAACACAAAAGGTTCGACAACAAATACAACAAGACTACTCTTATCAGGGCAAAGCCCTGAATGTTCCGACTGCTTTTTGAGGTCTATGGAGCAGTAATAACATGAACAAATCAAATGTAATAATAAAAATTGGAATTTTTTTCAAAAAAATTCAAGATTTTTTGTAAAAACATCCCCGACACGTCATATTAAGTACAAAGTGATAAATTTTGCTCTTTTTAACAAATCAATTAAGACAGATAAGCTTTCTTGAACCAATTTGGAACTAGTTCTATGACGGATTAAATCTTTGCTTACGCGTTAATAGTGCGAAATATAAAGCACATTAGTTGTCCAAATTGACCAAAATGGCAATCTTTAAACACCCATAACTTTACAAAATTGATCACAGGTAAAATATCTTTTCAAATTTGAGCTCAGGACAACAATAGTTTTTGAATGATATGGTGTCAAGAAGGCGCTAAAATCTTCAGCTTTTACATCTCAATTCTATAATAAAGACATGCACGAAATTAGACGGAAAATCAAAAGATTTTAGCAGGTTTGTCTCTCCGTTGAGGCTTTTTTCGAAAAGTTTTAATAGAGGAATTCTTTCCGACGATTATATGTGGTAACTAATTTTGCGTGGAAATGAAAAATCAATGAAAAAAAACTAAAACGCACTCGAATACAAATCCTCCCGAGTTTAAGTGGTCGGGATAAAACAGCAGGTGCTGAGCAAAACATAACGAAAAACTAAAAATTGAAAGACAGAAAAATCAATAATGCTCTGCAAAACTTCGGAGAGCTTGCCGACGGTTTTTACTTGGAAGTTTTTGTTGACAATTCAATTATTGGGTTTGGACTTCCAGTTTGCACCACCGGCCATTGATCATTCTAGCATGATTTCTTCATACCGATAAAAGTTTAGGTGATCTCTTCAGCTACTTACCCCATTTTGCAAAAGTCTGGAGATTGATTACTAGGTAAAAAACTCAAATGTGCTTGATCGTTGAATTAGTTCTTCATATGGGATGCCAAAAAAAACTTGATACCATAAGGGGGAAACCCTTAAAGAGGTCTTAATTAGGCTTATCTTCTTCCGAATAAATTAAATTACTTAACAATACGAATGTGGTTGATCTTCCATCAAAAGGTTTTTCAGATTGTACAATTCTCAAATACTATAATCCTCAAAACAAAATGATTTTTATGCGTGTTGAGTAACAAATTCTTTTTATAATAGTTTCTAGCAGGAACCAAAAAAAGTATTTGAGCTGATACGTTTTTCAATCAAGCAAATTAGTTATAAGATTATTTAATTGTTTTTGCGTTAAAATATCAACCGCTTGTGAGAACTAGGCAATACTTTCCTTATTGGGTTTTTTAGGACAATGGTTTATGCAAAAAGTAAGTGTGTTTCTATAATAGGCTTATCGCAGAGTAATTTAACAGTTCACCTGATTTAATTTTTAAAATTACCTGATACACTGTGGCATCTTCCCCCGTGGCAGATGCCAAGCAATGGACAACTATTAGATCGTGCTTTACAAAATTTTCACTCAAAGTTAGTAAAAATTAAAATTTTTCCTTTAGCTAGAAAGCTTATGCCTAAAAATTAATTTAAAAAAAAACTGTCTATTTTTCGAAAAATTGTAGAGTAGCTTACCGTATAAAAAAAGAAAGATTTATAGATAATACTTTACACTGAAGTTTCGCAATTTTTATAGTTTTTTTTTGTGAGAACAAACTGAGTCTCAAATATAGTATGGACAAGACAGCGTAGTTGAAATGATATCTTCTTGCACCTTTTGCGAAGGACTGAAATTCTTGGATAAATCCTGCAAGATAAAATTTTTCGACTAAACATTTTACACACAGACCGAAAACTGAAGTGACAATAATATCTTCGAACCTCGAAATATACTTCTTTGTGTTGATCGTTTCGAGAATGCAAACTTTGAAGGCATCTTGTAAGATCCTTGCAAGATTTGCATTTCCTCAATCACGAAGAAAGTCCATAGATTACATAAAATTTTTACATTTCGAGCAAAAATCTGAATTTGCAATTGTTTATTTTTTGTCAGTAAATTTTTATGTAAAGGTTAATTAGCAGGAAAATTTTCAATCGATTTACACATTTTGTTTTTCAAACTATAAGTCTGAAGTTTTTCAAAACTGATGTATATTCCTTACAGTTGCTTTTGCATGCATTCTCATAATTTCGTTCGCCTTAGGAGAAACTTAATCCAGCAATCCTTGCTATGAGATTTTGCTGAGTATTTGCTACACATCGAAAATTATAAACACAGCAAAACAATTCACGAATATTTTGTAGTAGAATTCAAAGTCTTGCTTATTTCTCGCAAATGTAATGCAAATCGTGCAAAAACTTCCGATAAAGGCAAAAGAGCAATACCCGAGTCGAGATTTTTCACCTAATTTGAAGCAAGATTTGAGCGGTTTGAGCGGTTTTTTTAGACAATTACGCTCAAAATCTTGCTTCAAAATGAGCGGTTTGAGCTGTTTTTGAACGGTTTTATCAAAAAAAAACGCTCAAAAACCGCGCAAGATTTGAACGGTTTTGAGCGGTTTATCTAAAAAAACCGCTCACAAACCGCTCAAATCTTGCGCGGTTTTTGAGCGGTTTTTGAGCGGTTTTTTTAGATAAACCGCTCAAAACCGTTCAAATCTTGCGCGGTTTTTGAGCGGTGTTTTTGGAGAAACCGTTCAAAAACCGCTCAAACCGCTCATTTTGAAGCAAGATTTTGAGCGTAAATGTCTAAAAAAACCGCTCAAACCGCTCAAATCTGGCGCGGCTTTTGAGCGGTTTTTTTAGAAAAACCGTTCAAAAACCGCTCAAACCGCTCATTTTGAAGCAAGATTTTGAGCGTAATTGTCTAAAAAAATCGCTCAAACCGCTCAAATATTACCTATTTTCTAGTGGTTATTTTGCTCGAGCATTTGAAAAAAGTCGCTCACATTGTTTTTGGTCAAGACATCGAAAAAAATAATGCTTGATTTGAGAACAGTTAAGATCTTTTTTAAATTGTAGATGGTATTTCAACTGCATCTTAGCGTGGGTTGATCAAAAATGCTTATCCTACAATTTCCATATATGAAAAAATGCTACAATTTTTTAGTTTCATAGACTCAGAAAATTGTAAAAAACTCTAGGATAAGCGTTTTTTCATATATAGAAATTGTAGAAAAAACTTTTTTTCAGTCATGGAAATTGTAGGATAAACATTTTTTCATAAATGGAAATTGAAGGATAAACATTTTTTTATAAATGGAAATTGTAATATAAGCATTTTATCATAAATGGAAATTGTAAGACAAGCATTTTTTCATATATGGAAATTGTATGATAACTGTTTTTTTAGCTTCAAATTAAATTTTCGTTTTTGATGAGCAATGTTCTTTAAATTGAGCAAAAGCACTCTTAAATATTTTAAATTTGTTTATAAACAAGTTTGAACAATTTCTGAAAATCTTGCCTTTCATGAAAAAATGGTTATCATACAATTTTCATATATGGAAATTGTATGATAACCATTTTTTTTTTAGAAAAAAAAAACGTAGTTCTTTTTTATCACCAGACTGTTGTATTTGGTTCAAATAGCCGGAGAAACTAGATTGAATCTTTTTTCAATGGTTTTTTGAAATTGTATGAAAATTGTATGATTAGCATTTTTCCATACATTCGTATGATAAGCTTTTTCGGTGTGGGGAAATTTAAAATAAATATTTTCGGTTTAGGGATGTCAACCCGGGGTCACATTACCTTTCCAGGCCTTTTTGTTGGTTTTAATCGGTTTTCTTTATAAGACCGCTCAAAAACCGCTCTAAAACCGCTCAAATCTTGCTTGAAAAACCGTTCGAAAATCACCGCAAGAAATGAGCGGTTTTTGAACGGTTTTTTAAGCTAGATTTGAGCGGTTTGAGCGGTTTTTCCAAAAAAAAACCGCCCAAACCGCCCAAACCGCTCAAACCGCTCAAATCTTGCTGAAAAACCACTCAAACCGCTCAAATCTTGCGCGGTTTTTGAGATGTTTTTGAGCGGTTTTTTTAGATAAACCGCTCAAAACCGTTCAAATCTTGCGCGGTTTTTGAGCGGTTTTTTTAGATAAACCGTTCAAAAACCGCTCAAACCGCTCATTTTGAAGCAAGATTTTGAGCGTAATTGTCTAAAAAAAACGCTCAAACCGCTCAAATCTTGCGCGGCTTTTGAGCGTTTTTTTTAGAAAAACCGTTCAAAAACCGCTCAAACCGCTCATTTTGAAGCAAGATTTTGAGCGTAATTGTCTAAAAAAACCGCTCAAACCGCTCAAATATTACATATTTTCCAGTGGTTATTTTGCTCGAGCATTTGAAAAAAGTCGCTCACATTGTTTTTGGTCAAGACATCGAAAAAAATAATGCTTGATTTGAGAACAGTTAAGATCTTTTTTAAATTGTAGATAGTATTTCAACTGCATCTTAGCGTGGGTTGATCAAAAATGCTTATCCTACAATTTCCATATATGAAAAAATGCTACAACTTTTTAGTTTCATAGACTCAGAAAATTGTAAAAAAACTCAAGGATAAGCGTTTTTTCATATATAGAAATTGTAGAAAAAACTTTTTTTCAGTCATGGAAATTGTAGGATAAACATTTTTTCATAAATGGAAATTGAAGGATAAACATTTTTTTATAAATGGAAATTGTAATATAAGCATTTTATCATAAATGGAAATTGTAAGACAAGCTTTTTTTCATATATGGAAATTGTATGATAACTGTTGTTTTAGCTTCAAATTAAATTTTCGTTTTTGATGAGCAATGTCCTTTAAATTGAGCAAAAGCACTCTTAAATAATTTAAATTTGTTTATAAACAAGTTTGAACAATTTCTGAAAACCTTGCCTTTCATGAAAAAATGGTTATCATACAATTTTCATATATGGAAATTGTATGATAACCATTTTTTTTTTCAAAAAAATAAAACGTAGTTATTTTTTATCACCAGACTGTTGTATTTGGTTCAAATAGCCGGAGAAACTAGATTGAATCTTTTTTCAATGGTTTTTTGAAATTGTATGAAAATTGTATGATTAGCATTTTTCCATACATTTGATGCAGGCAATTGTATGATAAGTTTTTTCGGTGTGGGGAAATTTAAAATAAGCATTTTCGGTTTAGGGATGTCAACCCGGGGTCACATTACCTTTCCAGGCCTTTTTGTTGGTTTTAATCGGTTTTCTTTATAAGACCGCTCAAAAACCGCTCTAAAACCGCTCAAATCTTGCTTGAAAAACCGTTCAAAAATCACCGCAAGAAATGAGCGGTTTTTGAACGATTTTTTAAGCTAGATTTGAGCGGTTTGAGCGGTTTTTCCAAAAAAAAACCGCCCAAACCGCCCAAACCGCTCAAACCGCTCAAATCTTGCTGAAAAACCACTCAAACCGCTCATATCTTGAGCGGTTTTTGAGCGGGATCTCGACCCGGGTATATTTTCTTGCAAGTTTTCTCTTAAGATATCTTTCAAGATTTAGTATATTTTACTGCCATTTCCTCAAGGCTCAAAACTGGTAGCAAATTTCGAAGAAAAAAAACAAAGGCACCTTGTAATGACAGCTGGTGTGGATTGATGGCCACAATGACCCCCTTAGCTCGGATGATGTCCAGTGCCTGTACCATTTTGGTGATGCTTCTGGCCAGCTGTTGGTGCTGGTGTGTTGTCGCAAACATCAGCATCACGTCTCGCACCTAAACAGTTAGATATATCTAAGGGAGTGACTGTTGATACTGACACAACTGCATCTCTACTCTAATCCTTCATTTCCCACATAAAGTCGCGGTGCTCACTTTATCTTTTGCCTGTCTCGACCGAAACTCGTAGGCTTCGACCGTGCTCCACCGTGCTCGACTGAAAAAAAACGTGCTCGACAGTGCTTAACCCTAGCAAGATATGTTTCGACCGTGTTCGACCAAAAAAAATGAGATCAACCTAGCTCGACCTAAGCAAATTGTGTTTCAACCGTGCTCTATCAAAAAAAGTATGCCTTTTTGATTGTTTGAGTCAATGTTTGTCCACTGAAAACATTGAAGGCAAACATTGAATTGATTAAATGGTCAATACGGCAGTGAACAAAAATCCAGTGTACAAAAATGAACAAAACAAAACTTTTATCCGACTCAACATTGAGCTGATAAGAATAATTCAAACCTTTAGTGAGATAGTGGTAAGTATAGGGCAAAGTTAGGCTAATTAATTAGCTGTAGCCCTAATCTTACAACCTTTCCAAGTGTTAGCGAAAACTGGCAGCTCCTTGTGGTTACCAAATATTTGTAAAAAAAAAATGAGTTTCATTCACTTCAGAATCCTTTATGTTGCTCTCGTTTCACAAACCGAGATCGTTTTCACTGTGTCTATGCATTATTTTGCCAATTCCGCATGATATTTATTTCAAACAGTCGATTCGTACAAATGGTGTCAAAAGTATCTGTAAAACTTCAATTCCAGTGATTTTTTCAAAACTATATCTCTGCAAAAACGTACTGCTGACCAAAACTATGTAAAGTCAAGCTGGTTGAGAGAATGATGTTTTGCTTTGATTGCCTCGAGAAGATCAAAAGGAATCTTAAGTCTCTTAAAGAAAACGCATCTGGTTTTTAATTTTATTCTGAGTTTCTGAGCCAAGAATTACAAATTTTTTGATTTGAAAGATTTTACAATTTTGATTATCAATTTTATAGCTCTCATATCACAAATGGAGACGTGTTTATTGTAACTTTGCAAGTGTTGCCAATTGTTTTGGATATTTTTAAAAAAAATTTATTGTTTTTGAAAAGAAATGATATCGAGAAATTGAATATAATCAAAATAAAGATTTCCAATTTTTGGTTAGAAAGCTAGTGAACATCATCACTTGATCAATTATTTTAAAAAGCTGACGACATTTATTTCATTCATGACTGAAAGTGTCAATTTAAATTTTCGTGCTCTAGGTATATGCTTCGATTTGTTTCTAGTAGGACCCAAACCCCAGTCTCGACTATTCATTTTCGTTCGAGCACTGACATTAGCTCGATTTTGAAAATTGAAACTCATAAAGAGAACCTGCGCCCGAGTAAATACCTTAAACATCAAAAAATATCAGAGAGCCAATTGTTTAGAAAAGTCCTTGTGGCGTTATGGCGCATTTATAGTGATGATAACATAGCAACAAGTATCTAATTGCGAGCTCAAAGCGCATGTGTCCTGCGATTAACAAGAACTCTACTTGAATTTTAGTCAACGTAAAGTAATTAACTTCTTGGTTAAGCCTCTGGCTGCATAATTTGACAAAGGAAAGGAGTAAAATGTTTTACAACCTCAATCAAAATTCAAAAGTTTTTCGGCATGGACTATAGGATAGTCTGTCCGCGCGGCCTAGTTCAATCAAAGTTCAAATGATTTGTCTTAGATCTTTTTATTATGCTTTCGACAAAGAAAAAAATGTCTTGTTTTCTTCGTTTTTTGAGCAGCTATAAAGAATATCGGCTTGAAGATTTGACACGCGGGCAATGATTTACTCTATGAAGTCGGGTTTGAAATTATGCATTCAAAATTGTTCTTTGGAAAGTCCCATTACTGTGGCTTTGTCTTACTTTGCGTAATAACAAAGAGTTTTGCGTTAGTTAGGGAGAGAGGAGAAATGCTATACGAGCCATTTAGCCGTGGGATACCAAAAACTACTAGAAACAGGTTTAACCAAGGATGCCAGATCCTACGATTAACTAACAAACCGACTACGTTAAAAGGAAACCAGTTAACGACATTTAATTCAACAAGGGGTTAAATGTCTTAAATTTGGGGTTTGGCCAAAAACAAACCACAGAGAGAATTTTACGGCAAGAAATAGTATCTTTAAAAACTGCAGGGGCCGTCGTGGACACTTTGCGAAACAGTATAAGAAAGCAGGGGTAAACCAAATTGCGAGATCACACGAATTTACTCATTTGAAGACCAATGTGATACGCATATTCGAAGAAGACCATGATGAAGAAGAAGTCGTAGTGTTTGCGACCCGAACGTTGTGGGATCGAGCAGCAATTGAAAACCGAAAGCTACGGGATCTGAAAATGTGCAGTGGCCAATGGAAAGCATCTTAGAGGGTAAAATTCAGGAGCTAAAAATAAGGGACTTTTTTTTTGCAGTGAAAAGAGTTTCTGAAGTGATCCGAAACATCTTCCATAGTGCGGCAGTTAAATTAATTAGAATTTTTGAGTGCATTCGTTTTGATATCGAATCCGAAAATTGGGTGGCTAAAGGAGCCGCGCTGTTAAACACCGAGGGCGGTCAAATGGATATCAACGGGGAAAAATCTTACCACTACAAGGCATCGATCGAAAGGAAGCGAAAAAAGTTGTCACGGTCAGTGAAGGAAGTGAGTGGAAACTAGAATTTTCAAGAGTTCCAATACTCACCAGTGCAACGTAAGCAAAAAAGTGTACTTTGAGAGAGTTCAAGAACTAATGTAAAGCCAAGGTGCGCCTAAAAACTGCGAAGGCAGCACACATTCCCACGAGCCGTTATTTTTCATATAATTGAAAGGTAAACGAGTCCTACCAAAAGTTGAATGGATGATTTGGATGATATACTCAACGCGACCCAGGGCTCGGGAGAACGCCTTTGGCAAGTATCATGAAGGTGTTAAGAAAACCTGACAAAACCAATGCCGCCACAAAAGAAAGTGGTTGGTTGGGGTTTCATTTCTCTGATGAAGGAGCTGTGCCAATGGAGAGTCGAATCCACTCTGAAGATGAAAAAACAAGAAAATATAACAAATGTTAGATCATTATTTGGATCAGTTAACCAATTCATTAGGTTTATCCCAAAACTACCTGCTACCACAGAACCAACCAGGGGCTTAAGGAATAATGTTCACGATGCGAATGGAGGATGCAAATATTACAGCGCTTGCAAAAATGAAAAAAAAATAGCGACTTCGTTGAAAACCATCAGTTAGATGTACATAAAAGCAATCGTGTAAATTGTGAGGCATGAAAACAGGTTCTAGGGGCGGCCCAAAAACAATTACACACCAATGATCGGAAACCTGTGTCAATGGACGGAAACCCGGTTTTTCAACAAAGCAGAAATTAAATAGAGTTAGATTTGTTAGCGGTGATATGGGCAGTTTCCCATTACCAAAATTACTGGTTTAGGCCCCACTTTAAACTCATAACTGATCTTATAGCCTTATTGTCGGGAAAAAAAGAATCTCATAGCTATACAACTGATCTTTTAGCCTTAGAAGAAAAGAATGCAAAACTATACAAACACGTTTGATAAGATGGGTAAATAGATTGATACAACTCGACTATGAAAAAGAACAAATCTCAGAGAAGAACATGGGCTTTTTCGACTAATCTTCTAGGCCCCACTTCTAGGCTCCCAACGGCCCCAAAAGTGTCTGAGCGTGACCATATATTCGTGGTAGCGCAAACAACTGCTGTGAGTCAGCTACTAAAACCGTCGGCGTTGACAAGAAAATCAGCCGAAGGTAAAGTTAAATAACGTAATAGTGAGAACAAAGCCGGAATGTAAATTAAGTCATCAAAAAGAATATGCAGCAAAGAAACTAATTGATACGTTCAAAAAGGTCATTTAACCAAAGTTTGTACTGAAAAAGAGACGAAAAGAGAGTTTTTTCGATTGTGAATTGATTATTCCGTTAAGGATCAGCAAAAATCAAATAAGATTCTCCCGTTCAGAGAAAAAATACTGCAAAAAATCCAGGAGTTTTTGACTATTAACGTGCATCATACCAAATCTCTCAGACTGCCTTCGGATGAGTCTCTCATTACCCTGTACGCCATGTTTCCGGCAGTTTTGTTTAAATGGCTAAAATTTTTCGACGCTCAGTTTACCGCAATTCTTACCAGGGCGGAAAAAATCCAAAATTGTATCGTCGAGGCACTGGATTCAAAGAAATTAGAAGACATTAAGAGTTTTGGCCCTTATTGTGACAACCATGTGGCTAAAGTACGCACATCCAACGGCACATATCGCCACAGCTGAGAGCCCCGATTATGATGCGTATTCACAAAAGGAACTGGGGAGCGTTTAAGATGAGGAACGTGGATAGCATTTAATTCTTGTAGTCATATGTGAACAAGCAGATACAATTGACTGCAACGAACTGTACTGATTCCATCAAGTCCGTAATAATTGTAAAATAGTCATTTCGGATGGGGACGTAGCCAGATTAGATACGTTACAATAGCCGAACCAGGAAAAACCATTAGGTTTTCTGGGACCCGTGACTGCGGTGTGGGGCATGAAAAAGCATCTGCTCAGGTGTTTTGACAAATTTTCAAAAATTGAGTCGGTGCAGATAAAAACTAGAATCTCGAAAATTGTATTGCGCTACAAGCGATGCCGAGGGCGATTAAAATTGATCAGAAGAGGTTGTAACTAAACCCATTGGTGTATTTTGTACCAAGAGCAACATCAAAGTGTTTTGTGCCCCAGTAGGCCAACATCGGGACTCAAGATTAGTGAAACGACTGCTTCGCTTAGTGAGAGAATTACTTTTGACTTGTTCTTTCCAACTACTTAGAAAAGCGCTGAAATGCGCTTTAAAGAAAATCATGTTTAGTAATAGGGCGACGATACACCAATGTTTGAGTTACTCTCCATTCGGAGCCCATTTTTCTAGAAAACCGAAAAAAGGCACGGTTGCTCGCAACGCCTCATCAAGTAACTTGTCTTGGAAACACGTTGTGTGTTTCTTAGATAAGAACAAGAAGTTATTCCCTGCGCGCGTATTGCAAAGTTGCACTTTAGCCGATGACAAAATGGGGAAGACACATGTTTTGACCGAGAGGTGTGTTGCTTTTAATGGGCGCAGACTAGATCCAGAGCGATATTCAGTGCTTATAAGAGGAGATGTCAGGTCGTTTTGTCAACGTCTTATGTGAGTTGAGAAGAATTCTGAAGCACACTAAACTAGTACCCTCGGACGCTAATGCTCAAGGAGATACAATCAATGGATTCAGGATACAAGCGTTGTACCCGGGGCTCGAGGCTCGAATCCGAAACGGTCCCAAAAACCCAGCCTTGGTCAAACTAGTAGATGCAACCCAAACCAGATTTTCAACCATTGGCGTCAGTATATAAAAATTTTGAAAGGGATTGCGCGCCGAAAAATGCGATTTTCTGTCAGAACTTTCCAAAAAGTGCCCAAGAACAGTTTTTTACCTGACTTTTTTTCAAAAAATTGCCTGCGGCCAGGGGCAGATCTAGCATTTTTTTGAGGAGGGTCGAATTTTCAAAAAAAAATCTAAAATTATGTCGACCTTTACTTTGGTCTATCAAATTGATTTTCCGAGTTCTCCCAAAGCAATAATTAGACTATTTTTCGGCCAAATGTTTGCGCCGCAGGCAAAATTGTGGAAACTCAGGCCAAAAAAGGTGTTTTTAGCCGCTATTTGGAAAATTTTGACACTCCTCCTCAAAAATATTGTATTTTGATGCCAAAAGGCTCCTTTTGAAAATTTCTAGGGTTCGTTAGCCAAAAATGGATATCGGCTGTGGGTCGAATCCCAGAGGGGGGGACCCAGCCCCCTTAAATTCGTCAAGGTCTGCGGCACAAAAATTTTGCTCAAAATAGAGTCTTTATCGTGTTCTCGGGGTGCTCGAAAAACCCGTCAACGTCAAGAAAGCCGTCATCAAAAAAAACCGTCAACCTAAAAAAAAACGTCAACAAAATTTTGTGAAAATCCTAGATCAGTCCCTGTGGTTAAGTAATTCCGAGTGGATGTGGATGTTAACTTGGTTCTAAATTGAAACTCGTAGCTAATCATACTCGAGCATTATACAAGCAGCTCTTGTAATTTTGTATCCATTTAGATTGAGTGGTGGCGGATCTTAATTGTCTTAAACCCATTACTTCTGATTGCGATATAAACCGATAAGCGCTGCGTGTATAATATTGGAATCTAACTTCAAGTTGGAGTTAGCATGCTAGTTAACATCCTATACCTGCTTAACACTTACTGCAATGCGTACGAAGAATAGGTTGGTGGGTATTCTGGCATCTCCACTCTTGCTCATGCAGTTCACTAGAGTCGCATGGTTCTGTTTGCGAAGATTGGCCTGCAAAAGTATAACATCAATGAGGACACTTATTGTACAGAATTTTTTGCAAACAATTCCATTTTTTGTGTAGAGTTTTTGGTTATCAATCCGATTTTTTGCAAACAATCCAATGAATCACCAGCAGATTTAGGGGGTGGGGGAGCGGTCGCCTTTTCCTCAGGGATTAGACCCCCTGCCGACCCAAAGGGTCCCCTGTTTGTACTATTTTGAGATATTCAATTTCGACTGACTGTCCCTAAAATTTTTCTAAAGGTGCCTTCGGCGCTAAAATTTACTAATTTTGAGAGGGGAGCGCGCGCCGAAAAAAAAACAATTTTTTGGTCAACATTTTCTACAAGAAGGGTCCAAAATGGCTTACATTTTTCGCCAATTTTTTCAAAACATTGCCACCGGTGCAGAAACCTCTGTCAAAACATAGTCTCTACAGCAATTTGGTCGTCCAACAAAAATTCCGAAACTTTTTGAAAATCTCCCTCCCCCGAGTAAATCCTAGATCCACCCCTGTAGTGAATACATGCGCTTATGTTTTTACTAATCAAATTTTCATAGTAATTGATTTTAATCCGTTTTGTTATCGGAATGCCAATTGTTCCAAATAGCTAATTTTAAGTTTAAAAACCTAATTAATTTTTTTCTTACTATGCGCATGCACACACGTGGGACACGCAATATCTCTGGAGATTATCTGAACGGTATGACGGCAATTCATAACAAAATATTTTGTCGCTAGTCAATTAATCAGGACTAATAGCTTGGACAAACTGAAGGTTTGAGTCTCAGAGACAAGTGTAAAAAACTGACCATCAGAACAGGACTTAGCGGCAGATATTGTAAGTCCTCCCTTGTAAGTCTATGAGACGCTCCTGTTTCTGCGTTGTCCCCATTGATTGTTGTCGTCGCTTCACTAAACATTGTCCCACACGACTCATTAAGGTCATCCACCTCTGGAATCGAACCCATTGAACCCCCTGGTGACCCGAAATTATTACTCATATCTGTGACGTAGTCGGTTGCATAATCATTACTCAACGGTGATCCATTGTCAGAACGAGGTCCACCATTTTGGATGGAACTTTTCGGTTCTGGAATTATAAATTGAGGATCACTTCTGACAGGTGTTTCTGGGATTCCAGGGTCAAGCAAGGTCACCGTTCGTGACATTTTGCCACCACTTCCGCTTCCGTCTGAGTTCTTATGACCTCTAAGATTAAGTTCATCAAAGCTCAAACCGACTGATACTGGAGGAAGAGTTCGTGATCGGGTTTTCCGAGTATTTTGCCGCGACGATGCCGATTGCTCGGTATTTGAAGTCGTGTCGTTATTGAAATCTGAAGTGGTTTCGTCGAAGAGAAACTGTTCGTCAAGTGATGAAAATTTGGTAGCTGTTACTAAGGTTGCATTTGTTGTATTCTAAATCAAAAAGTATGCAAAACAAATTAAACCTTTTTTTTTGTAAATAGGAGGGATCTCCCCTGCTCGGAAAAAAACTCTCGTTTGCTGGAAAAGGAACAAAAAATATTAGTAATATCTATCTATAAAGTTTGTATAGGAGTTGATTATAGAAGCCAGGGGTGGATCTGGGATTTTTTTAGGTCGCCCCCCCCCCCTCAAAAAAAAATAATATATATTGGCGCCGAATGCACTTTTAGAAAATTTTTAGGGTCTGTTAACCAAAACAGATACGTCAAAATAGTACAAAGAATGGACCTTCTGGGTCGGCACGGGGTCGAATTCCTCAGAAGAGATTCGACCCCCTGCCGACCCAAAGGGTACACCCTTTGTACTAACTTGAGATATCCATTTTCGGTGACGGAGCCTTCGGCGCCACTATCCGCCCGTGATAAAAACATTTAGTCACTGTCGAGTTGTTTTTGTTTGAGATGAATCCCCACCCCCTCCTCCTCCCCCCTTCTCTTTCTCTCTCTCTCTCGCTCTCTCTCTCTCTCTCTCTCTCTCTCTCTCTCCCCGATGCACAGTGTCAAAACATTTTTACCATTCGTATCCCAAACTCATCGGAAATCTTGATGCTCGTCTCCTCATCACCATTCGTGCTTTGCTGTGATTGGTCCAAGCTATTACTGAAAAATTCTTCGCTGGCATCAAAATACTGACTCTGTGTTCTCGTGTCGTGGCCTGAACATCAGAAAACTCCATATATGGAAATCAAATAAAGCAAAAAATGTGTTCAATCCTCAAAAAAGTTAAACAGCAATGCGTCTTCGTTTGTTTAAATCTATCGTACTATAACGCTTCTGCAAATCCGTGTTTGATTCAAAAATTTGTTCTAAAAGATTCGCTTACCTTTTCGATACCGTCTGTTCATACTCCGTTTCGGAAAGGAGCCTTTCTCGCTCGTCGCATCTGAATATTTCGACGATTCCTCGTCGTCTTCGTCGCTAGGAACCAATCCATTCGGCGAACTAGGGGGGCTAACTTCGTTTCTAGGGGGGTCAAAAAAGGTATCAGGGTAAATATAACCATTTTTTGAGTCAATATACCTCATAGCATGAAGAAGTTTTTTAGTGGGATGTAAAAAGTTAACCAGTATTAATATAAGTAATAGATCGCTAGAGTGTAAAATGTCTTTTGTCGGGTCTTTAGCTTCTTTACACTCTAAGATTTTGTTTTTGACGAAGATGATTGAGCAGCTGGGAGCCAGTTTGTCAATACGCGCAGTATGCGTCACAATTTCTGAAACAAAACCACAAATGTCCATAAATAGAACCTATGAATCATATTACGAAAAACTTGTAATTTTGTTTTCAGAAGCGGACTAAATTGAGGGTCAGACTGCTGTAAGCTACCCGTATCCTAATTTATGAGCAATTCAGGTACACTCTTTGATCTTTTTAACAACTGGCATCCCCTTCACCCCTACACTGGTTGATGTTAACGAACACTGGATGATGGTGACGAATACGTTCACCTTCGACGGGTTAAATCAAACGCCTGAAAAAAAATAAAATGATTTTTATATCGAGCAAACTAACTCTCTTTTAATGAACGCAAGAGAGGGGCATTAAAGACCATTCATTCACGATAGAAAGGAACAACATACGAGCTCATCAGATGTTTACAGGGAATTGCTGATGTGCTCCTTGTTTAAAAAACTATATGCACTTTTTGGTAGTCTTATAGAGGCAAGGGGATTGTTTCCTTATCATCCGCACACAACAGGCACAGATCATGATGGTTATCGAACCACCAACCGTTCAACGCCATCGCTCCTAATTGAAGTTCAACTAAGGCAGTTGTAAATTTACTAAATTGTCACTTTATGAAATGTTGAGTTTTTTCTGCCTGAAAACAATTTATGATTATTATCATGATTATTATCATGACTATGATTATGATTAATATTATTATTATGATTATTATTATGATTATTATGATGATGATTAATATTATGATTAGTATGATGTTTATTCTTATTATGATTCTTATTTTTATCCGTATGATTATTATGATTAATATTATTTACACAAGAAATAAGCTTTTGTGACAGTATGAATTTTTTTTCAAACTAAGTCGCAAATATAAGTGCGAATTTTGAAAGCGTTCTTTTACAGCAGTATGTGCATAAAACCAAGAACCAGCTATTAAAAACAGCCAATGCGAAGGATATTAACGCTTTAGTACAAAAAGCACTTTAGCTTCACGGTATCGACCTGTAGCGTAGAGTTAGGAAGGAGACCTGCAACAAAATAAGAGGGTTCAAACCTGGGCAGGGTCGGTTGTTTTTAATGAACTTTTGCGTATACTAGTTAAAATGCGTCCGTTCTATAAATTGAGGCATGTTACTTCGTAAATTTTTCATTACAAATTGACTGATACTGCTAATGCGTCACAATTGGCGTGCGTCACTTAAGAAATTATGTAGACTCGAAGTCTTACTCATTCAGTTTTTCCCAGTAGCGCTATCGGCCAAAATTTTGCTCAAGTATGCGAAATGCAACTTCGCCCTCTGTGTAATTTGAATCTTATTATGATTACAATTGTTGTTTTAATGAATAATATGAAAATTATTATAAATATTATTATGATTTTGATTATTATGATTATTTTTTTTGATTGTTATTCTTATTACAATTGTTATTAAGATTGTGCCTATTATGATTTTTATCAATATTACCCGGGTCGAAGTGCTCGACTTGTATTTTAACGTTAAAAGTCGAGCAAGTTGCGACTAAAAATCTGCGGTCGAGGAGTCGAAACATACCAAATATTGGTCGAGAATTTCGAAAAATTGCTCGAGAAAGTCGAAACATATCATATATTGGTCGAGAAAAACGAAACATAGGTCGAGCACAAAGTCGAAACATACCCAAATTTTGTCGAGAAAATCTAAGGATAGGTCGAGAAAGCCAAAACATAGGTCAAGCAGAGACGAAACATTAGTCGCGCACAGTCGATACATAAGTCGAGCACAGTCGAAATAAGCCCAATTTCGTGTCGAGAAAGTCAAAACAAATAGTATGATTTTTATGATCATTAATATGATTATCCTGAATCGGATTTTTTTACAATTGAAATTATGATAGAATTATGGTTAATATGATTATTATGATTTTTCTAGTTATTAAGATTATTATATTTAATATGATTATGGTTATTATGATTTATTATTATAAGTATTATGATTATGATTATTAAAATCATGATGATTAATCTGATTATTATGATTTTTATTATAATTATTTTCATTATCAGTATTATTATGATTAATATGGTTTTTATTATTATGATTATGATGATTATTATGTTTATCAAGACTATTTTATTAATTAATCAAGATTATAATTTTTATTATGATTATTATGATTATGATTTTTCTGATAATTATGATCATGATTATTATGATTATATTTATTATTTTTATCAAGATTATGATTTTTGTGTTGATTATTATGGTTATCAACATTATATTTATTATTTTAATCGTGTTTACGATTTTTAATATGATTAATTTGATTATGTTTATTATTTTTATCATGATTATGATTTTTGTGTTGATTATTATGATTATCAAGAGTGTATTTATTATTTTATTCCTGATTATGATTTTTATTATAATTAATATGATTTTTATTATTATGATTATGATGATTATTTTGTTTATCAAGATTATATTTATTAATTAATCAAGATTAGAATTTTTATTATGATTATTATGATTATGATTTTTCTGATAATTATGATCATGATTATTATGATTATATTTATTATTTTTATCAAGATTATGATTTTTGTGTTGATTATTATGGTTATCAACATTATATTTATTATTTTAATCGTGATTATGATTTTATTATGATTAATTTGATTATGTTTATTATTTTTATCATGATTATGATTTTTGTGTTGATTATTATGATTATCATGAGTGGATTTATTATTTTATTCCTGATTATTATTTTTATTATGATTATTATGATTTGATTATAATGATAATGATTATGATTATTATAGTTTTTATGATCATGATGAGTATTCTGATTATTATTATGATGATTACCACCACAATTTTTATGATTATTATGATTTTCATTATTAAGATTATGATGATTTTTATGATTATTATGATTATTTTTATTGCTTTTATCATGATTATGATTTTTATTATGATTATTTTGAATATTCTGATTATGATTATAATTATTATCATTCTTATTTTGTAAAAGCCTACGCTGGCAATAATTTCGAGGACTGACCTAGAATGTCTTTGTATTTGGAAGTGACGTTGAAGTTGACCACGAATTTGTCGTATGCCTCCAGCATGAATGCCTGGTCAGTGAAGAACAGGTACTCCCAGATTTCCAGAAAACAACTCACTGGAAAAAGAGAAGAACCAATATGCTAGAAAATATTATAAACTTAAACCAAAAGGTTTCAGTTGCAGTTTAAGAGGCGAGGAGCTATAGATCAGAATTAATTCTCCATCATTAATTTACCAAAACCAACGCCCGCCCTTTTGGCTGTTTTTCGGCCTGTAAAAAAAGTGAAAAGATGATTACAAAGAAGTTCAAACTCTTTCAAAAAAATGCAAATACTTCGAGTAACCCAAAAGAAGGGCCACGTGTTAGGCTTTTGGCAGAGCTCAAACTGTTCAATATCAATTCGAGATTGATGAAAATTGCTGTGTAAAAATTGGATTTGAATACATCCGGGGTCAAAATGTAGCTAAAATATTTAAAAAAAAAAACATGATTCTTCCGTGTATATCTGTTGTAATATCCCCTAGATCATCTTTAATAGTCTCAAAACATTCAAAACATGTCTCAAATTGAGCCTAAAATGTCCACTCGGGAAGGAATGTAATTCATTCTTGTGCACATGTAGTGTTTGTGGAGAGACCTTAGATTTATTGAGTTTAAAAAAAAATTTAATCTTAGAAAACTAGGGTTGGTAAATAATAATAATAATAATAATTGTAGTGGTAAATGAAAAAAGTTAGATAGAAAAAAAAAACGACATGAAAATAACTGACCAGTGTACCATGCTTCCCTCTGTGCATTCGGGAATCTGGCATCCCACTCCGGACACAGTTTGCACTTGGAGCCACTCTTGCCCCCCACTGAGTACTTCATAGTGGGGCCAATGAACCAGACTATGATGCCATTCAACACGTGCAGTTTACGGTGCAGGAACTCCAGGTCTCGTTTGTCGTCGAAGGCCACGTAGAAAAAACCGACGAATTGAGCCACCTGAAACAAAACAAATTAATCATAATATTAAATTGTTTCCAACCTAAAATGGTCGAAAAGTAAGTCGCGCATGGTGGAAAATTCAGTCTCCGCTAAAAACTGGTCGCAGGGGACCCTTTGCTTGGCGAGGAGGACGAAATACTGTGTCAAAAACCAACTTGACATCTTATTGGCCAATTTCTTCTTTTGACCAATTTAAATGCTCCAGATGCTCGCAGCTCCGAGATTACGTGGCTGAAGATCATGGAAATGGCCAACAGTTTGGCAATAATTGTACTAATTTTCTTCCAGGTGCGCTATTCACTGATAATCCCGCAGTGACAAAAATTGATAAAAAATATATATATATTATCTACAGATAAATATACAAGTTTTAAATAAACTGTAATTCAATTTTTAAACAGTAAAGTTACAATTACAACCAATCGGTCAGAATTCATTTTGTTTTAAAAAAAATTTATACATTATATCTTCATTTATAATCACTATCAAAACACAACAATTTTGATTTTTGGTTGTCAATTCTTACACAAACTACCCGTACCGAACTTTTCTCGCAATTTCATGTGTGATCATACAATTGTAAGACACCTTTTCTTTTTAAACTCTGTGCTTATCTGTTTCACATGTGATCACATCTGCCGTTTGCAGACTATACCTGAGTCAGACATGACTATATCTGGTGAGACATGACTATACTTGGTCAGACGGGACTATACCTGGTCAGAGATGACTACACCTGGTCAGACATGACTATACTTGAGTCAGACATGACTATACCTGAGTCAGACACGACTGCACCTGGTCAAACATGACAATACCTGAGTCAGACATGACTATACCTGAGTCAGACATGACTATATCTGGGGAGACATGACTATACTTGGTCAGACGTGACTATACCTGGTCAAACATGACTACACCTGGTCAGACATGACTACACCTGAGTCAGACATGACTATACCCGAGTCAGACACGACTGCACCTGGTCAAACATGACTATACCTGAGTCCGACATGACTATACCTGAGTCAGACATGACTGCACCTGGTCAGACATGACTATACCTGGTCAGACATGACTATACCTGGTCAGACATGACTAGAACTGGTCAGACATGACTACACCTGGTCAGACATGACTATACCTGAGTCAGATATGACTATACCTGAGTCAGACATGACTATACCTGAGTCAGACATGACTGCGTCTGGTCAGTAATGACTATTCAGATAAGACTAATCCTGAGTCAGACATGACTATAACTGGCCAGACACGACTACACCTGGTCAGACATGACTATACCTGAATCAGACATGACTATACCTGAGTCAGACATGACTGCACCTGGTCATACATGACTATACCTGGTCAGACATGACTATACCTGATGAGACATGACTCTACTTGCTCAGACATGACTATACCTGGTCAGACATGACTACATTTGGTCAGACCTGACAATACCTGAGTCAGACATGACTATACCTGAGTCAGACATGACTGCACCTGGTCAGACATGACTATACCTGAGTCAGACATGACTTTATCTGAGACAGACATGACTGCACCTGGTCAGACATGACTATACCTGAGTCAGACATGACTGCGCTTGGTCGTAATGACTATACATGAGTCAGACATGACTATACTTGAGTCAGACTTGACTATACCTGGTCAGACATGACTACACCTGGTCAAACATTATTGTACGTGAGTCTGACATGACTGCGCCTGGTTAGTAATGACTATACATGAGTCAGACATGACTATAACTGGTCAGACATGACTATACCTGAGTCAGACAAAACTATACCTGAGTCACAAAGGACTGCACTTGGTCAGATATGACTATACCTGATCAGACGTGACTATACCTGAGTCAGACATGACTACACTTGGTCAGACATGACTATACCTGAGTCAGACATGACTATACCTGAGTCAGATTTGACTGCAACTGGTCAGACTTGACTATACCTGGTTAGACATGACTACACCTGGTCAGACATGTCTATACCTGAGTCAGACATGACAATTACTGGTAAGACATGTCTATATCTGAGTCAGACTTGACTATACCTGAGTCAGACATGACTGCGCCTGGTCAGTAATGACTATACATGAGTCAGACATGACTATACGTGAGTCAGACATGACTATACCTGGTCAGACATGACTACACCTGGTCAGACATGACTATACCTGAGTCAGACATGACTGCGCCTGGTCAGTAAAGACTATACTTGAGTCAGACATGACTATACCTGAATCAGACATGACTATACCTGGCCAGACATGACTGCACCTGGTCAGACATGACTATACCTGAGTCAGATAAAACTATACCTGGTCAGACATGACTATACCTAGTCAGACATGACTGCACCTGGTCAGACATGACTATAACTGAGTCAGACATGACTATACCTGAATCAGACATGACTGCACCTGGTCAGACATGACCATACCTGAATCAGACATGACTATACCTGGTCAAACACGACTATACCTGGTCAGACATGACTACACATGGTCAGACATGACTATACATGAGTCAGACATGACTATACCTGAGTCAGGCATGACTATACCTGGTGAGACATGACTATACATGAGACAGACATGACTATACCTGAGTCAGACATGACTATATCTGGTCAGACATGACTACACCTGGTCAGACATGACTTTGCCTGAATCAGACATGACTGCGCCTGGTCAGTAATGACTATACATGAGTCAGAAATGACTATACTTGAGTCAGACATGGCTATACCTGGTCAGAAATGACTATACCTGAGTCAGACAAGACTATACCTGAGTCAGACATGACTGCACCTGGTCAGACATGAGTAAACCTGGTCAGACATGACTACACTTGGTCACACATGACTATACCTGAGACAGACATGACTATACCTGAGTCAGACATGACTGCGCCTGGTCAGTAATGAATATACATGAGTCAGACATGACTATACCTGGTCAGACATGACTATACCTGGTCAGACATGACTACACCTGGTCAGACATGACTATACCTGAGTCAGATATGACTATACCTGAGTCAGACATGACTGCGTCTGGTCAGTAATGACTATTCAGATAAGACTAATCCTGAGTCAGACATGACTATACCTGGCCAGACACGACTACACCTGGTCAGACATGACAGTACCTGAAACAGACATGACTATACCTGAGTCAGACATGACTGCACCTGGTCATACATGACTATACCTGGTCAGACATGACTATATCTGATGAGACATGACTCTACTTGGTCAGACATGACTATACCTGGTCAGACATGACTACATTTGGTCAGACCTGACAATACCTGAGTCAGACATGACTATACCTGAGTCAGACATGACTGCACCTGGTCAGACATGACTATACCTGAGTCAGACATGACTGCACCTGGTCAGACATGACTATACCTGAGTCAGACATGACTGCGCTTGGTCGTAATGACTATACATGAGTCAGACATGACTATACTTGAGTCAGACTTGACTATACCTGGTCAGACATGACTACACCTGGTCAAACATTATTGTACGTGAGTCAGACATGACTGCGCCTAGTTAGTAATGACTATACATGAGTCAGACATGACTATAACTGGTCAGACATGACTATACCTGAGTCAGACAAAATTATACCTGAGTCACAAAGGACTGCACTTGGTCAGATATGACTATACCTGATCAGACGTGACTATACCTGAGTCAGACATGACTACACTTGGTCAGACATGACTATACCTGAGTCAGATTTGACTGCAACTGGTCAGACTTGACTATACCTGGTTAGACATGACTACACCTGGTCAGACATGTCTATACCTGAGTCAGACATGACTATAACTGGTCAGACATGTCTATACCTGAGTCAGACTTCACTATACCTGAGTCAGACATGACTGCGCCTGGTCAGTAATGACTATACATGAGTCAGACATGACTATACGTGAGTCAGACATGACTATACCTGGTCAGACATGACTACATCTGGTCAGACATGACTATACCTGTGTCAGACATGACTGCGCCTGGTCAGTAAAGACTATACTTGAGTCAGACATGACTATACCTGAATCAGACATGACTATACCTGGCCAGACATGACTGCACCTGGTCAGACATGACTATACCTGAGTCAGATAAAACTATACCTGGTCAGACATGACTATACCTGGTCAGACATGACTGCACCTGGTCATACATGACTATAACTGAGTCAGACATGACTATACCTGAATCAGACATGACTGCACCTGGTCAGACATGACCATACCTGAATCAGACATGACTATACCTGAGTCAGGCATGACTGCGCCTGGTCAGTAATGACTATACATGAGTCAGACATGACTATACCTGAGTCAGACATGACTATACCTGGCCAGACATGACTGCACCTGGTGAAAAATTCAGTCTCCGCTAAAAACTGGTCGCAGGGGACCCTTTGCTTGGCGAGAAGGACGAAATACTGTGTCAAAAACCAACTTGACATCTTATTGGCCAATTTCTTCTTTTGACCAATTCAAATGCTCCAGATGCTCGCAGCTCCGAGATTACGTGTCTGAAGATCATGGAAATGGCCAACAGTTTGGCAATAATTGTACTAATTTTCTTCCAGGTGCGCTATTTACTGATAATCCCGCAGTGACAAAAATTGATTAAAAAATATATTATCTACAGATAAATATACAAGTTTTAAATAAATTGTAATTCAATTTTTATACAGTAAAGTTACAATTAAAACCAATCGGTCAGAATTCATTTTGTTTTAACAAAATTTTATACAATATATCTTCATTTAAAATCTCTATCAAAACACAACAATTTTGATTTTTGGTTGTCAATTCTTACACAAACTACCCGTACCGAAATTTTCTCGCAATTTCATGTGTGATCATACAATTGTAAGACACCTTTTCTTTTTAAACTCTGTGCTTATCTGTTTCACATGTGATCACATCTGCCGTT